AAGGGGTCATTTTCCACAATAACCACTATTTGCTACTATTTTACACGCTATACTTGCCATCAATTGACTATGAGTTGCATTTTTATAAAATCCATTCAAATGTTCACTGATTACTGAAGTAATATTACTTTTATAAATATACACAATAATAGTGATACTAATTATATAATATGTTATACATAATAGTCGAGTAATGTATGGATACATACCGTCAACAGTCATGAGTTTCTCGGCGAACACCGTTTGGAAGGTTCCCTCAACACTGATCTCACACTTGTAGTTACCACTTGTCATACCATTCGTCTCTGTTATGAATACCGTTCCTCCTTCTGATTTATAAAACTATTACCATGGTACAAAACAAACAATTTAGTTATGCTGCCAATTATTAAAGTTTTATAAGAGTGATTAAATTATAACTATTTTATTAATAATTGCAGAGTATAAATAAAATATTGCATTTATTTAACATGAATGTGTGGGCGAATGAAAGCCTATTTATATTGTATAATACAATATGTATTTAAATCAAATATGTATCCTTTGTTATCGGATTTAAAGCAAAATTTAAAACATATTTTTTCTGATAGTATGTGAAAAGAGTTGTCTTCACAACAGATATACAGTAATATGTTTTGCTATTAAAAGGATAGTAAACGTGAAAATGTGAAATATAATTGATTTTAGAGTTACATTTATTGATTGGTGATAATAATAGTATGTGAAAAGAGTTGTCTTCACAACAGATATACAGTAATATGTTTTGCTATTAAAAGGATAGTAAACGTGAAAATGTGAAATATAATTGATTTTAGAGTTACATTTATTGATTGGTGATAATAAGCTGCATTGTGTTTGAAAGGCATATTACAGTCGAATCCCTGTTTATATTGATGTTTTCAATCGATTTTTCATTAGTCAAGAGTCACTCATGTATTGAATGCTTCAGTAATTTAATAGTCACTCAAATATTTAATACAATCCCCGACTAACAGAATGACAGATCGTTTTATTTATTGAATGAATGCATTGAAAACAAATAAAATAGAAAAATAAAATTTTTTTAATAGTCACTCAAATATTTAATACAATCCCCGACTAACAGAATGACAGATCGTTTTATTTATTGAATGAATGCATTGAAAACAAATAAAATAGAAAAATAAAATTTTATTTACACCAGATTTTGACTGAAAAATAAAAATCTATCGATTGACTTTGCACATACTTTTTTTAGGGGAAAAAACTTGCTTATTGAATATAAGTTATATAACATAACAAAAAATTTAACGTATGCTCGGAATAATAAAAGTTTTTTCAAAGAATATTCTATAAAATATATGTACTATTATTACAATAATATATAATAAACATTGAAATATGTGTAACTAAATTATTGAAACATTTATTAGTTTATATACCCTTTATAAATGTAACAAAAAATTGTAATTTCATAAAATAAGTGTATTTATTATTTATAACTTTATTCGAGAGCATATAATTGAAAAGTTTTGTTTTTTAATATCTTTTATGCCATAATATCTAATATTTATAAAACACAGTCTCTGAATTTTAATAGTCACTCAAATATTTAATACAATCCCCGACTAACAGAATGACAGATCGTTTTATTTATTGAATGAATGCATTGAAAACAAATAAAATAGAAAAATAAAATTTTATTTACACCAGATTTTGGCTCAAAAATAAAAATCTATCGATTGAAACTTTGCACATACTTTTTTTAGGGGAAAAAACTTGCTTATTGAATATAAGTTATATAACATAACAAAAAATTTAACGTATGCTCGGAATAATAAAAGTTTTTCAAAGAATATTCTATAAAAATATATGTACTATTATTACAATAATATATAATAAACATTGAAATATGTGTAACTAAATTATTGAAACATTTATTAGTTTATATATAGTATATATATTATATACCCTTTATAAATGTAACAAAAAAATTTGTAATTTCATAAAATAAGTGTATTTATTATTTATAACTTTATTCGAGAGCATATAATTGAAAAGTTTTGTTTTTTAATATCTTTTATGCCATAATATCTAATATTTATAAAACACAGTCTCTGAAAAACAAATGTAATTATGACTCGAAATTACTTTTCATCTAATATTAAGGAAATGCAATATTCTTAGAATTACTTTCATGTTATAATATACTGGTAGACAATAAATATCAAAAACAAAAAATGTATTGTATTGTAAAATTTAATTATATTTTTATCATTTAATTTACACCGATTTCGGTGCGAATATCGGAAACAAATTGTGTGAAAATATTGGATTGAATGTCGAGAATAAGAGTGTAAAACATATTTGCGATGAGAACTCACGTCAACGTTAATGCCTTCCAATGGAAAGACTTGTTTAACGGGTTTTCCTCGAGGGGTATACCGAAAGAACTCCTGTTCCTCAGGATTCTTATGATTCCTATAAAACCATTTCAACGAATATAACGACGCGTTTCCCAAGTCATACAAACACGACAACTGCACTTCACTGCCCTTCTTGACCCGCGCCGGTACGTTGAGGGACACCAGTCTTATGCACGTTATGCCTGCAAACACACAGAAAAAAACAATTTTATAATTAAATAACTTATAATTGTTTGCGAATCGTTGACATTAGTATAATATATTAGATAAAGGATTAATTGTTTAGGAATTTATGAGAAAATTCTTATCGAAAGAAGTAATAAATAACACATTAATTGTGAAACTTTAGTCTTTATGTCCGCATTTGGGTTCAACTGTTTATTTGTTTGCAATGAATTTATTGTTGTCTAACAATTCGTGCCTAATCTCTGGCTGAAATAAAAATAGGGCTTATTTTTTTGGTCCAGTGTTTTGGTGCCTCGAATGAATGAAATGAATGAATGAATGCAAAGATAAGAATCGTAAGAAAAAAAGAGTTAAGAAAATAGTATTTAATTTTGCTGTCGAAGGAAATACTGATGAAACAAATTGAATGACACAAACATTAATTGAATGCATCGATTTGTGTGTCATTTACTAGAATAACATTTAACGGGTTTTCCTCGAGGGGTATACCGAAAGAACTCCTGTTCCTCAGGATTCTTATGATTCCTATAAAACCATTTCAACGAATATAACGACGCGTTTCCCAAGTCATACAAACACGACAACTGCACTTCACTGCCCTTCTTGACCCGCGCCGGTACGTTGAGGGACACCAGTCTTATGCACGTTATGCCTGCAAACACACAGAAAAAAAACAATTTTATAATTAAATAACTTATAATTGTTTGCGAATCGTTGACATTAGTATAATATATTAGATAAAGGATTAATTGTTTGGGAATTTACGAGAAAATTCTTATCGAAAGAAGTAATAAATAACACATTAATTGTGAAACTTTTGTCTTTATGTCCGCATTTGGGTTCAACTGTTTATTTGTTTGCAATGAATTTATTGTTGTCTAACAATTCGTGTCTAATCTCTGCCTGAAATAAAAATACGGCTTATTTTTTTGGTCCAGTGTTTTGGTGCCTCGAATGAATGAAATGAATGAATGAATGCAAAGATAAGAATCATAAGAGTAAGAAAAAAAGAGTTAAGAAAATAGTATTTAATTTTGCTGTCGAAGGAAATACTGATGAAACAAATTGAATGACACAAACATTAATTGAATGCATCGATTTGTGTGTCATTTACTAGAATAACATTCAGTAATTGTTTTTTCTCTCTACTCTGATCTCCCTTTCCCTGCACATCTCCCTTTCCCATCACGCCGTCAGACACAACCATCTGATAGTGAGAACATAATAGCTGTGTATGTGTTGTGTGTGTGTGTTATAGATATAGTGAAAAAAACTCATTACAATTAACTAATTAACCAAAAGCTTTTAAATTATAATAAATGACCTGGATAATCTTCGTGTGCACATTAAATATAAGCCGCAATAAATTTGTTAAATACACCACTGGTTTGACCAACAAATGAGTTCACTAATTATACAGCATTTGCTGTGTTTAAAGTTTACAGTTTAGCAAACAGTATGTTACGTTAAAATTAGCAATTTCACAAAAAGTAAGGGCTAGTATACCATGGAGAATAATTTTAGAAATTATATAATGACTGCATAACGGTATTAACATGTTTTCCATGTGAAAATTAAACAGGTAATATTTGTAATGAGCAGGTTTTGCTATAATATTATAGCATAAGTTTATAAACAAAACTACTGGTCATTGGTGTCTAATGGATATAAAGAATCTAAAACTCCAATCACAATAGCAATCGATTAGACACTAAATAGTGATTCAAAACAATTTTTTCGGATAAAAATCTTGTGACCGTTTGATATATATTTTCTCAGCCGTAGCGCTGTTTTGTGCCAATTCTTGAGACGTATTCTGTTTTTAGTTTTTGTTTTTTCATTACTCAACAGAAAGGGACACAAAAGAGAGAAAATGTTTATCTCTTATTGAGTGCCCAAACGAATGGACAGAGTTATCGGTTGTTTGAATCAAACTTTTTTCGTTATCTTGTGATACGAAACAAAATGTTTGGACTAATGATTAGAAAAAAACCCAATGAAAAATAAAATGAAAAGTTTGGCAAATCATTTAATAAGAGTTTTATTCATTGCACAGTTAGTTTACTTTTTAACTGCTAATTATTTATTTTACCTAGCTTATTTCTATTATCGCCTAGTTACTTATTTATCTGACAATTCTGCCTTAAATTAATTATAATTATAAATATGGGTTTTATCCAATAATCTTAAGTATAAATGAAATGAGAATTACTGTAGATTTGAATGTAAAGTATATCTAATTTTCTTAATGAATGAATGAATGGATGACTGAATGTGTGATTGAAATGAATGGCAGAGAAGTAGTGGTCGTATGTGTTGTTCAATACGTTTATGTAATTATT